ATAGAAGCGTATTTGAACGAAAAAGCCGCCGAACACATATCTATGTAAAGTAAACAAGCCCCCCGCTGCATCCCTTTTTCGATAGTTCCGAACTGGTTCTAAATTCGACAAATAAGATCTAGTTCGTTCTGCATCCCTTTTTCTACAGTTCCGAACTATTTCTAAATTCGTCACTTTAGATATAGATTTCTAGTGAAAAGAACTGAAAAAAATTAGGTTTTTAAAAGTACCACTTTTCGCCGATTTTGGACCGGTGGGGATCTAGTTCCTATCGGACTAGTTCGTTTTTGGCGATAAAGACCTACTACGGAACTAGAAATTTGATTCACTAGTCCACGGTTTCCCTACAGGGTATGTACTTATAGACAGCAATGTTTTCATGTTTGTACATATGTTTGAATGGTTGTATTTATATTTGTACGTATGTATGTACATATGTTTGTGTACATATATATATGCACATATGTAGTACAAACGAAAACAAATCTAATAAGCTGCTCGTTGATATAAATGCGAACTGTACTGATTGTCAAAAATTATGTATTTGTTGTACATTTGTTCATGTTTGTCATTGTGCGTGTAATTTTCTAGGGTAGTTTTGTGCTCTCGCTATCTCCTTGTATTAACTCGTCCTTCGTTGGTATACTCTGATGAACATATGTTAGAATGATAGCAAGGCCAACTTATGTATATAAGGTAGTGTTACAGGAGCAGTTGAAATTTTCGCCCGATGTTTCTTAAAGAAAGCCATAAGCGTAGCGACTGTTGGTTCAACTTGGTGTTATTTTGCTCTAGATTGCACCGTTTGTGGGCCTGTTGAATGAATTTATGTCTTGGTTGTATGAAAGATCAAAAAAATTGGATTTTCTGGCAAGTTGTACCACTTACCGCTACATTAATTGCCATGTTGTACAAACTAATTTAATTTGCGTTTATTTTGTGCACTAAATAACCGAAAATGGATAACTCAGCCGAAATAGGTACGTGCTTTCGTTGAATTTTATTAATATAAGCTCAAAACTATTAAATTGTAAAAATGAGATTTTACAATGAGACTGCTCGCAAAATTGCAATGTTTGTGGGCAAAACGTCCAACTTGATTGCGGATTGATTTGAACCAACATTTTCGGCTTGCATTATGTCAAATGGATGTGTTTGTTGTAATTCCTTCTGTCATTTACTACCATTATGCGTAGGCCAATGAATGAACACCATTTCATGATTTCAATTAACGCGAAATAGAGTTTATGCACTTAGTTTTTACTCAGATCGATGAAATTATTTCGTGAATTGGACTACGCATACATGTGATACTTATGCTTTTAATTTATAAGGTAATTTTATGTTTTTATACTCTTGGAATTTGTCTTCTTTCAACTTAAATAAATGCATTTTGCAAACAAAAGTGCGTACGTTACTTACTGCCTTGGTAATGGCGAATTCGTAAGGATCTATTGATTGCATTATAAACATTTTCATTTATTTGTTAAACATACAATTACTTCCATTACAACCCGGTCCTATGGATGCTAGAAGCGCGAATTCATATAAGGTGGTGTTACTGGAAAATGAATAAATAAATTATATGTATATCAGAAAATTAATAAGATGAAATGAAATTATTGTTTGATTTCTAACCAAACCTATGTATGTAACTCAATCGCCTAATGGTTTGCCGAACCATAAGCGTATGTTTACACATCCAATTTCATAAGTAGGTACCTGATACTCACACCTTTTGTAAGAAGTTTCACTTCTATCATGTGTACGGTGTTGCACACGCATTTTTAATTTTTTTTTTTCGGGCCGGTTTTCAAATTATTTTTGTGTTATTTTAGGAGCTTTTCCGGCCGGTAGTTTAAAAAAGCAAAAACAAGCTTTTTTCCTCTTACGCGTTTCGGCGTTGTTTTTCGCCTTCTTCAGGGAGTCTGTTTTTATTTATTTGGAAAAGAAACATAAAAAACACAACCATTAGATACAATGTTACATATTGCAGTATGGAAACCATTAGTTATCATACACACATATACAAATACAATTCTTCGACGGCACTTCGACGACACTTACATCTGTACATTTACATCACATTTGACACAATAATTATTTTAACATATTTAACTTTTACATCAGTAATAAATAACTATGTATAAATAAAAATATCACAGCCTAATGTTTGTTATCGCTCATCTGCTCGTCGAATGTGTCCAATTGCTGCCCGATATGCGCAATTTATTTTATCCACGTCTTCTTTGAAGTTCATCGCGTTCTGTATTCTTTGTTGTATTCGCAGACCTTCTAATGTTAATCTTGTCCTCTTCCTCCTTTCTACGTCTAATATTTTGGTGTTTTCGAAGTCTAATCCGCTAATTGTTAAGTGTTGGGCTAGTGCTGTTGTTGACTTTTTGTGCTTTGCGTCAGCTTGGTGTTCGTTGATTCTAACGCCCAGTGCTCGCTTTGTCGTGCCTACGTATACTTTATGGTGACAGGTAATAAGGTCAATGGAAATAAGGTCAATTGACTTTATTTCCCACCCTGGTGCGAAATAAAGTCAATTGACATTATTACCTTTTCAAAAGCGAAATAAAGTCAACAAAAATTTGGAAATAAAGTCATTGACGCTATTTCCTCATTCAAATGGAAATAGCGTCAACAATGCTTAAAGTATGTCGATTCATAGAAAAAAATGTAGTTCTTACAATAAACATTGCCCCGTAAGTGTTGTTTTTTAATAGAAGAAAAAGGCTTTTGTCAAATCCTCAGTGTTGTGGTATTAATCCACACATAATCATGAACTACCACCAATTGATTCTATTAAAAAAATTTAAATTACGAATATGTAAAAACACTATGCGAAAAACTAAACGCCTGCGCACAGCTGGAATATGAGAAATATTTGAAGAAAGAGTGGAGAAATGATCCATAACTTGCAAAACATTTTTCGTTTCTACAAAAATAAAGCGAACACTATTAAATTGAAGAAACAGCACATGTCCAAAAACCCCGGAGGAGCACTGAAAGAATTCTGTGTTTTAAATTAGCATATTTTGAACGAATTCGGAATGTCTAAGGTGGAAAAGAACCTAACTTTTCTATAAGGAAACAATTATAGAAAAAGAATTTTCCTACACTGTATTTATGCCTCCGCCAGCAGTCATTTAAAAGCAGCTAAGGAGAACGACAACACTACTTATTAGATGGCACATTCAACGAGCCAATGTGCCAAAATGCGGGTATAAACAATTATTGATTATTTAATATCGGAACCGAGATCATATAAGTTAATTGATTGGTTTTCACACACTTTTGAAACACAAATTATATACTTTTTTACTGCAGACAAGTTGTTGCCTCAAAACACAGCAGAAATCTTCCAATCAGGGCTGCCAACTCTCCTTAGTTATGAGGTGCTATATTGAGTATAAAAAAAGTGCCAAAATGTGCCAAATAGAAAAATAAAAGTGCCAAAAAAGGTGTAATTCCTTTTAATCATTCACATTTAGCAATAAAATAAAGCCACACTTTCAAAACAAAAGTGCAATGATAAAATAAGATAAACCAGTTGAAAAGCCTTTATAAATTAGAAAATTTTAGTTGAGAAAAAGAAGTGCACGCAAAGGATTGAAATGTTATTTTTTTTTAAAAAGTGCCATTTTGGCATTTTGTGCCAAATTGAAAAATTAAGTGCCATTTGAAGTAAAATAGGAACAAATTGCACGGTTTCAGCCAAGTTGGCATCCCTGCTTCCAATAACTTACAAATATAAAAATGTGAAATATCGAGGGCTTGAATTCATCCGCACCAGGGTGGGAAATAAAGTCAATTGACCTTATTTCCGTTGATCTTATTACCTGTCACCTACTTTATTGCAGGTTTCGCCAACCTTTCCTTTGCATTTAACTTCGTAGACAACATTGTGTTGTTGTTCCTTGTTGATTTTGTCTTTTGTTTTGCTGAAAATTATGCTAAGTGTGTAGTTTGGTTTGTGGGCAAAAGTTATACATTCTCTTCGAATATTTTTGTATAATGTTTTATTATCCATTAATCCATGTATATATGTGACTCCTGCGAATTTTTTGTGTTCATGTTTATTTACAGCTTCAATGCCCATGCCTGCTGACTTTCGTTTGTTTGTTGTTGTTGCTATAAGCCTGTTTATAATATTATTAGGGTACCCGTTTTTGTGTAATATGTTCTTTATCTTTCTGTTGTTTGCATTGCTGAACTCCTGGTCACTCAACGCGTGATTTTTTTTTATGAGATTGATAGCAGTGTTCCTCTTTTGCGTCCAGGGGTGATTCGAGTGGTAATTAATAATTCTGGAGGAAGCTATATCTTTAGTATACCAGTTTGTTGACAATTTCTTGTTTATGTTGTATATTTCCATGTCTAGTAAGGCTAATTTTTGTTTTTCTTCAACTTCAGTCGTGAACTGGATTTTCCTATGTTGGGCATTTAAAGTTTTAACTATTTCTTCCACGCCATTTTTATTTACAATAGCAAATATATCATCTACATACTTATTGATGTATTTAATATATATGTCTTTGGTTTTCAATTCAGCGATGCTGTCGTCTAGTATTTTGTCCAAAACAATATCTGCTACAGTTGGTGATAGGGGGTTTCCCATTGGCATTCCATGTACCTGCTGGTAATACGTACCATCATAAACAAAATAGTTGCTGTCCCGTAAGCAGAATTCCAAAGAACTTAAAAATTGTTTCCTTGTGAAGCTTGT